TAAGTTTTACCCGACCTAGCTCATATTGTACATATTTTGAAAGCACTAACAAATTTAAATTTGTGTTCTTACAACCATTGCTTCTAAAAGTTATGGAGTTAATTCTGTGTTCTCACAGCCATTGTTTTCACTCTCTCTTCTTCTCACATCTTCTATATATGCTTCAAGGAGCCGTATATTTTCTGCTTCTCCTCTTGTGTCACATGGTTGCAATGTAAGAAAATTGAAGAGTAGAAGTCCACCATTGAAGACCATTCAAAGCTTTAATTTGCTTTTAAAAATGAGTTTTTTTTTTTTAGTTTGTTAGTTGTTTGGAATGGGTATTGTTCTAATTGATTGAAAATATCAAAAGGAGTTCAAAATTTAAATTTGAAGTGATTTGGAGTAGATTTGAGCAAGATTTGAGTTAAATTTCAGAAAAGACGTAAGGAAGAAGACGAAGTTAATTTTTTGTATAATTATGTATAATCTTGTATAATAGTGTATATGAGTGTCGAAACACACCTTATACACTATTATACACATTTATACAAGCGTATGTAGACGAACTTCTTCCACGATTTTTAGTTGCAATTCTTGTTCAAAACCAGTCCAAATCTCCATTAAATGACTTCAAATTTTATATACAATCTCCTTATACTATTTCTAACAAGTCTAAATAACACCCACTCCAAATTTCTCACAAAATTAAATTCGGAATTTATAACACCCACTTCAAATTTCTCACAAAATCAAATTCGGAATTTAAATCCGCATATTTAAGCTTGTTAAAAATCTAATTTTCACCACACAAACGGATTTGATTTGTTAACTAATATTTGAGTCACAATTACTGATTCGAATATTAACTTAAAAGCTTGAAGAATCTTTTTAAAAATTAAATAGTAATTTTGAGAACCTATTAGAGTTGGATGTTGAATCTTAGCCTATATGTTTGGGTTAGTTGATTGTAAATTAAAATATGGGCTATAAAATTGAAAAGTAAGGAGCCCAATTGTTCTAATGTGAAATTTTTCTTTTTATTGTTTACCTAAATTTATCGCAAATTTTGGTGCGCCCATTCATTAAAATATTAAGGAAAATGGGCCAAATATACCCCTCTACTATGTGAAAATGAATAATTTTACCCTCTGTTATATTATTCGTACAAAAATACACTTACAGTTATGCTAGTAGTTTAAATATACCCCTCCTTCATTAGGGTTGTTCAAGATGGATGCCCAATCCGATGTGGCACTGACATTTTGGTGAGGTGGACACATGTGGCATACCACCTCGCCACCCCAGCCCATTTTACCCCCACTTCTTCTTCTACCACTAGCAACTCCTCCATCTCCACCGCCATTGCTAGTATGACCACTACCATTTTCACCACCTCCACTTTCACTAAGCCACATAGACCCTCCTCAATTTAATCACTATATTGAATCTTCAGATAATCGTCATATTTTCACTTCTCTTTTTCTTCTTTAATTTTCACTAAGCCACATAGACCCTCCTCAATTTAATCACTATATTGAATCTTCGGATAATCGACAAGGTGTGTTGCTCTGATGGTAAGCACCCTCCACTTTCAATCAAGAGGTTGTGATTTTGAGTCACCCCAAGAGCAAGGTGGGGAATTTTTGGAGGAAAGGATACCGGGGGTCTATTGGAAACAGCCTCTTTACCCCAGGGTAGGGGTAAGGTCTGCGTATACGCTACCCTCCAGACCCCATTAGTGGAATTATACTGGGATTGTTGTTGTCGTCTCACGAAAAGTGAAGGAAGATCAGAAACTGTGCAACGAATCAAGAATAATACACTTGTTACATGAGCTTATAGTGTTAAAATATGACTGACTCACTTTTTTAGCTGAATTTCTTTTTGGTTGACTTCACTTTCCCCTTCCAACTTTTGTTTGGTGAAGGTTAGAAAACCATCTACTATTAATTTGATGCTTCAGCAAATGGAAAAAAAAAAAAAAAAAAAAAAAAAAAAAAAAAAAAAAGGTGATATTTTAATTTTTCTTCCCTGAAAACCAAATAGATTAGCAAACATCAAGCTTTTCTCTCTCTTGTCGTCTATTTCTCTCACGCTCACCTCTATTCACTTCAGATAGAATTCACAAATTCCTAAGAAGGTACAGAACTCTAATTCAAGAAGAAAAAGTCATAAAAGATTGATCAATTTATAGCTCATGGCCGCCCTCTGCCACTTTCTTTTCATACAAAGAGATCTTCAGAGTAAACCCCATCAGTTCCATCAGATACTAGTACACCCAAAATTGAAGACGAACAACAAAGCGGAAACTGAAACCAGAAATCGGAATGGGCTGTGAGGTGGCATGTCACATGTGTCCACCTCATCAAAATGTCAGTGCTAGATTGGATGGACGACTCTAAAGGAGGAGGGATATATTTGAACCACCGGTATAACAGTACAGGTATTTTTGTGCGAATAGTATAACGAAAGATAAAATTAATCATTTTCGCATAGTAAAAAGATATATTTGACCATATTCCCAAAAATTAATGACTTCAGTTTGAATATTCTTGACGAAATTTTAGCTACGCCACTTATAATACTCATTTACATTTTATGAGATCATTAGGTATTTGTACATGTCGGGAAATCTACCGGTGGATATAAAAAGAAAAGAAGGGAAAACATAAAGTAAAGGAACGCAGAATAAAAGGAGAGGAAAAAATGAAAAAGAACGTCAAGAAGAACATTTTTATTTTATCACTATCTTCGATCCACTTAAGAAAAGCTTAGAAAACTGAAAAGTGAAAGGCAGCTTACATGTATGGATCCTAAAATCTGGTTAGGTTAAAGAGGGCACCTCATTACATGCATATATTACATGTTTATAATGCTTTAATTCTTTCCTCCTCTTTTTTTCCCTCTCTCTTTTACTCGCGCCAATTGAAAATAAAGATACTGAAAATTACCATTTCTTGAGTGAGGAAATTACCAAATAAAGACAACCGCCTAGGAAAGAACTAAATATTTGGAAGAAAAAACTCTTTTGGGAGAGAGAGAGCGAGAGAGTCATAAGGGAAAGAAATTAGAGAGGGAGGAATCATCCATATATGGTCTATCATACGAAACTTTCTTCTTTTTTTAATTGTGTTTTTCCATCTTATTCTATAGTATGAGTCAAACACGCCTAGGGAAAATAGTTCATTCCTTCCTGAGACCAGAGACTCTTCATGCAAGTAATTTCAAAAAGGGTTTAAATTATATGCACAAATTGTATCAAATTCTTTTTACACTTAATAAATTAATTTGCCATAATAAATAATTAACCATTTATTCAGGATTAGTAATTAATGCTTATTACTGAAAATTAGAACTAGTACATTTTTATTGACTTGACTCTATAATTATTTTTATGTGTAGATTGTAGAACATAAACTCTTTAGAAATAAACAAGAAACGTTTTGGCCTATTGTATTATTTCCTTAACTCATTAATTCCGATCTCGTTGTTTACATCATGATATTCTTCCATAGATCTTCTTGCATGTAGTTCTCCTACATATTTGATTAGAGTTAGCTTATGATCTTCTCAATCATTATCAGCTTCGTGAAATCTACCTTCCTACACCCATTCTTTTTATATATCTTCCCTGCATCAGACTCGAAGTTGTTTGAAAACTCTGTTTTAAAAGGCAGAATTGGGACTTGTCGGGAGCTCGTCTCGAGACGGAGCACTCGTAAAATGTCCCTGGGCTTATGTGTGGGGCTTAGTTCCTTGAGACTTACGCCTCGGCCGTTGGGGCTTACGCCCCGGACACTCCCAACGCCCAGCATATTGGGCTCGCCTAATAAAACTATATGCAATTGTATGTAGTTAACCTTGTAAATCCTCAAATTCTCTTAATAAATTGTTGACTATTCAAAATTATTTTTTTTCTTAATCATTAATCATTAAGTTGAGAGTATTTTATGTCATAATTAAAATAACAATTATTGCACGTTATCCACTAAGACTTCTATGATAGTAAATTTTAAATAAATATTTCATTTAAAAGTATTTATTTATTTTTGTTATGTCTTTATTATATAATAGTCCATAATTTTTTTTTATAATTATTTTCCAAAATATTTTTTTCACGTTTACGAGATAAAATACTTATTAATTTAATAGTCCATTATTAGCTAGTAACTATTTACAAATAATTAGTTATCATGGTGAATTATATGTCACTTTATTAACTTGTTGAAACTTAAAAATAAATGATGCTAGAGAATCATATTTAAATTGCGAATTATGTTTTATATAAATTCTCTTTCAAATAGAAAGGATATTAAATAAAAGTAGTATTTAAAAAAAATATCAAATTATAATATCGAAATTTTTTCAAGATTCATTACTCCTTCAGAGATACATATAAGATTTCGCATCAAATACATTACTTTTGATGTTTGAGTTATAACGACGTTGCAACTAATTTACATATTACGATATATGTCATACTTTTCAAATTATTCATAGTTGAATTATAATTTATAAATATTTTAAATAAATTATTTGTTATAATTTTGTGATTCTATTGTAATTTTTATAATTATTTTTTATTTTATACTATCTTAAAATTCTTAAAATTAATAAAATTTAAAGATCCGTGAGATTTACGCCCCCTGTCTCAGAGCTTACGCCTCGCCCCGCCTCTTAAAACATTGTTTGAGAATTCTCAAACGTCTGACTATGGCCTATAATTTCGTAAATGTGTTCGTTGACCAAACAATGACCTAGAATTAAGTATTACCTTAATCATTAATCTTAAACTAAATGTTGATTTTCCATCCTTATTTCTTCAAGTATTCCACAATTTTATTCTGCTACTATTTACAATTCATATTATAGGATATCACGCAGTTTATTCCAGGATTCCAAATGTATAATTCTAAAATTATTTAACTATATACTCCTATTAATTCTATGTACTTCAGTCCAAAAGGTGCATCAATAAAAATCAGCAAAAACGGCTCATAGCTCAAAAAGTTACCAAATGGAGCACAAGAAATCAGAGATATATGCATTACTACAACTAGAACTTCTGCTTTTATAAAATATCAAAAACGCCTCAATACCAGAATAAAACCCAGTTCCTCCCACAAAGTTGTATTGCATAACCAGAGCCCAAAATTGAGAATAATACAATGGTTCACACAATTGGGCGTGCCAAAAAGCTAGATACCACAAAGAGCGAAGCAGCCTATCAAGGTCACACACCTGTTTTCCGCAATTCAGCAGCACCATGAGCAAAGTGGCACCTGTCTCCAAAAGTGCAAGACCCTTTAGCAAAATTCTCACACAACTTTGTCTTGAAGTTGCTACCTGGAGGAGCAGCACCACCAGGAATTGCAGGTGTTCTTCCAGGGCCACCTACTGAACCAAGGCTATTGATCAACTCCCTTACCATGGCACTAGCCTGTGAAATTTGTTCAAATGTGCCCTCTAGCTCAATGTTTCGGAGATTTTTATCTGTTTCATGATCTCGGATTGCTAGCTTGGCGCCTGTCTGCCTACAAATCTGCTTAGAGTGCACTCCACCCTTCCCAATGATGGCTCCAGCCAGGGAAGCATCTACACTGATCTTAGCAGTGGCTGACGTACCAAAACTAGCAGCAGGTCCTGAAACAGCAGGCTCTATCCGCCCACCAAAACGGCCTGGAACTGGTCCACCCCCCATTGCACGTGGATCCTCCTGTGAAGGCATGATAGGCTTTCCAATTTCCCACTCCCCATGAGCAAAATTGCATTTGTCTCCAAATTTGCATCCCTCGGTTGTGTTGTATTTGTTGCAAAGTTTGGTTTTCACAGCAGGAGCATTTCCATTGGACATGGGGGGTGCTGCAGTATTTCTCAATGATGGAGCTGGTGCCATTTTCATCATCTGAGCCACAGCATTATAGCCACCAGGGACGTAGTGAAGGAAATGGCAGTTCTCACCAAAGGGGCAGCCAGCAGTACTGCACAACCAAAAGAACCAAGCATCAGCTTAGGCCACTCTAAAACCAAATTTCCCATCACAATTAGCCAGCATAGATAATTCAGGCACAACAGATGGAAAGCAGCACAGTTCCACACAACTGGATTACGATACTAAAGCAAAATATTTCATCTGGGATACTTTCTAAACACAAGGCATAAGTGCCCTTCACAGCTAACCCAATCCCAGTCTCCTCTAGCATTAATGTGATGTAAAAGGGTTTAACAGTCATGATTCAAGGAAAAGAAACTCACAAAACAAGAAAGTTAAAGGGTTTGAAGTGCAGAGTCCTATGTTCCAACTTGCAGGAACAGGATGCGAACCTCTTCACTTATGCCCCCACTATGAAAGGAAACAAAACTAAGATATTCATTCCAACCAATACAGAACATAACTAAAGAATAGAGTTGATCTTAATCAAAAATGCAAAATAAAAAGCTAAACTCATGACTTTCACCCAGTCGACGCAAAGGACAAGAAAAATATTCATCTGGATGAATTTATAGAAGAACCGAAAGATATGCTAACAGCTATGAAAAAGGAAAGCAGAGAGAACAATGTGCATGAGTTCAAATATAAATCAGTAACATAAATCACACACACCGCATAAGTAAAAGAAACTAGCCTTAAGGTATTGTATTTGTGTCCTGGTTAAATTCAGCGTATACAGTGGCAAATCTAATAAGAACTTCTATTATCTATGTAGATTAAGTTTTGCTTGTCAACCAATCAACTCAGAAAGTACGACAGCAACTAATGATTACATATTCATTTTTTTAAAAGAAAAAGCATACTAGCGAATAAACATTAAAAAAAACAGTGTAATCTCACATGTGGGATCTGAGGAGGGTAGTGTGTACGCAGACCTTACCCTATCTTGTGGAGGTAGAGAGGAATAAACATTTATATTAATGAGCAACAAAAGCAAAAAATCTCATGTATAGAAGGGAGGGGGGGGGAGAATCGGCCCACAGGTACCTTAAGTAACATTATGCAGCTCAAGAGTCGAGACTTCACCCAAAATTTCACTAACTGGAAGACCAGCTAAAGAGGTTTTCAAGATTAAATTCACTGATTGCTAGACTCAACTTCACAAGAATGTCAAGTAAGACGACAATTAAGCCGCTAAACAGAAATTCTTATTAGGCTGAAAGAGAGAACTTTGAGAAGCTTTAGATAGTACATCTTAGAAATGAAAGGTGGATCAACATACCTGTTTTCAATGTATAAAGAAAGACTGATAACACACCATTACAGTAAAAATTAGGTAGAAATTTATAAAACTGTTGATATATTAGAAACCAATTCTCATTCCTCCAAGTGCATTATAGCTGGGAATATCTATCTCAACAAAAAATGTTCACAAACAATTGCGTTGTCATTAAGCTTCTACAGCTTTTTAAGCATTTAACAGACTCACAAGCAGAAATCGACATTTATATTAGCAATTGTAAATGTTGCACTTCACATTAACTTAAAGTCTATATAAATTAAAGTTCATTAGGTAGGCAAAGATTTGAACCTGAAAAACTTCGTGCATGGCTTTGATTTGCTTCCTATACCACTTGATAAGGAGTCCATTTCTGTTGAACCAAATTAATTATTTATCCCAGTTAGAAATCTTGTTGTTAAAATTCATGCTAGATGAAAATTAGCAGATATCATATCCTTATTACCAGCAAAATTCAACTAAATTGTGTAAGTTGAAAGCATTGAAAGAAGCTGAATATCATAAGAGAAGTTCACCAAATCTTCTCATCCATCTCATTAGAGAAGCAATTGTAGCAATATTGAATCATGAATTGAGTAAATTTCTTTTTCCATCAGGAATAATTCCTACAAATCTAATGACTTCTTTTTCTACCATTTTTTAAACCAAAACAAGTTAATCGGAACATGACAAGGTCCTCACATGTACATAGGCAGATTCAAGATTTTAATTTGCTGGATTCGGCATTAAGGTTTTTACCTTGAACCCATTATTGTGGATTCACAATGTAATACTTTCCCAACAGATTCCCACATATGTATCTATACTCCTGTGTCAAAAAAGCTGGGTTCAGCTGGACCATTGTTTACATGCTCGATCCGCCATTACGCATGTATGTATGAGACATATCATTCCATCAGAGAATGCAAGGGTAACTATATTATACTATAATGTTTAAAGTTTTTTTGTTATAACAGCACATTCATGGAGCTGTTGCTTCAGCCTAATTGGATTAAATTCAAAATCTGCTGAACATCTTTCTGAGTAAACAGACGTGGACAGAAAGTTCTCTTTTATTTTCTACTCATTCCCTCATAGAAATTAGAAAAGCTCATATATTTGCCTCCAGATGAACCTTAAAGAAAGGAGTTTGGCCTCTAAAAAAAGGAATTCTGTTTTTTTGTTTTTTCTCTTGAGAGTAACTACTAATAAAACTTTCGCTATATCAAGAGAAGTTCAAAGTAAAATGAACATGCATCCCAACATATGTACAAGATAGCCACACTGAATCTAACCACAAAACATATAGGAAAAGTTGAACAGGGGACGTACAGTTAATCCTTATAAAATATTCCTATTATCAAAAGCATAGTTAAAAAGTTCGAAGCACAACCCAAAAGAAGCATGAATTTTTTTATAAGCGAGATATCCCACTTATATGGTCCGACCACTACTCTTCTCCACTTAAATACCAGCTCAACATTTCTCCTCTTAAATAGCAAGCTTTGGGTTCGAACTCGTGACATGCGCCTAGTAAACACACATCACGGCTATTTCCACTAGACCAATTCAGCGGGGCCCCAAATAAGCATGAATTCGAAAAAAAAAATATTACTAAAGAAAAAGATATGAAAGAATAATGTATAAAAACCTGGCTCATATTTCTTTACACCGCCATTGGCGTTGGCACCAGCATCGTTTCTGTTTCTCTTTCGGATGTCCATAGCTGGTTAACTCACAGATCGAGGTTCGAAGCAAGTGAACAACAGTTACTATAAAAATTGATTACGTATAAGCCAAAGAGAACAAAAATCAACTTAAATGAACAAGATTTGTGAAGGTAAGTAGCGAAAAAGAGTAGAAGGAGGAGCAAAATCTACAGGCCAAAACTGGAAACCCTAAATATAGAACTAGGGTTTTCCGCGAAGGGAGAAGAAGAAGTGGGGCGGAGGGGTTTATATGAGCTTACTGGATTTGTATATTCGGGTTTAAATTTGGTTAAGAGTGTGAGTTTGGATTCCGCGCGGGATTTTCTGGAAACTTTGGTGCGAATCTTGAAGGCATATATGGAAAGTCACGTGCTGTGATGTGAGAAGCAAAAGGGAAAAAATCAGAAATAGCCAAATTTACAATCCGTAATCAAAAAATATTCACAGTTTCAAAAAAATTGAATTTAACCATTTTTTTGGGTAAAGATGAAATTTGAGCAAAAACACCTTTAAAAATTCGAAAAAATTTACATATGAGATTCTAGCATAATGTGTTGGAGTTTCAATATAATATGGTAGAAGTTTATACATAGAAGCTTCAATATCTAACATATTTTGCTGGAACTTTCCATGTGCTAGAGTTCCAATGTAATATGCTGAAAGTTTATATGAACCTTATAATCCGACATATTATGCTAGAATTTTTCATGTTTCAGCAAAATAGTGGGTATTTATCAATAACTGTCTAAACTCTGGCTATTTTTTAATTATCAATCCAAAAATTGGCTAGTCTGTGCTACTTTTACCCAAGTGTCACTCCTGATTATGGACTTTCTCTTTATGGCTCTATTTCTATTGGGCTTTTCTGAAATGCCCCATAGTAGGCCCAAAGCGTTTTAAGGTCTGTGAAAATTTTGTAAAAATAGCACAGGCTAGCCAGTTTTCGGATTGATCATTCAAAAATAGCCAGCGTTTGCAAAGTCATTGAAAAATAGTCACTATTTTGCTACAACAGGGACCGATCCAGCATAATATTCTGGAGATCAGAGCACCTGTGTATGAATTTCCAGCATATTATGCTGGAACTCCAACACCTGGAAAGTCCCAGCATAATATACCGGAGATTGGAGCATCTGTGTATGAACTTCCAGCATATTATACTGGAACTCAAGTATATTATGCTGGAGTTCTAGTATACTTATGCTGGAACTCCATTATAATATGTTGGAGTTCCAGTATACTTATGCTGGAACTCCATTATAATATACTGGAATTCCAGTATACTTATGCTGGAACTCCAGTATATTATGCTGGAGTATTTTTTGGATTTTGAATAGTGTTTTCATTTAGATTTATCTTTACATGTAAAGTGCCTAAATTTCGATTACTTTTGAAATTGTGGCTATTTTTGAATGACCACTTGTAAATCTAACTATTTTTAAATTTCGTAAAAATTGCACGGGGCACCCTATTTGGTCGCCCCCATTTAACCTATACCCATTTTTTAAAAAAATTTTAATTTGTACCTACTTTTTAAACAATTTCAGCCTCATTTCTCCTCCTCCTTCTCCTCTTTCGTTTTCTTAAGATATTTTCAGTAGGATAACACAGGTTAACATCTGGTCTTCCTTGTTACGACTTATCAATAACAATGAATCAACTAACATAAGCTGCACGATTTCTTTTTATTTTTTTCGCATTTTTGATGTAATCTTTTTTTCTTTGAATCAAATCAATTGATTTGTGGAGTTAAAGTAATAGTTTCACTTTATATCACTTAAACTTTATGATTATTTGATTTATTTCCACTAAAGACATCTTTTTCTAATGTAATTACCGATCTGCTCCATAAAAACGTTCAGAAAGAAGAAGAAAAAATGAAGATCCAATATAGTGATTGTATGGGTCAAAAAACTATATAAGCTTTTTCAAAAACTTTAGCTTATATAGTGCTGAAGTTTTTACAAATAAACTAAATAACTTCAGTATCTTTTGCTGAAGTTTTTGAAAAGGCTTATCCAGGACAAAAAAACTTCAGCTTATTTAGTGCTGAAGTTTTTACAAATGAACTAAAAAACTTCAGTATCTTCTGCTGAAGTTTCTGAAAAAGCTTATCCAGGACAAAAAAAACTTCAGCTTATTTAGTGCTGAAATTTTTACAAATGAACTAAATAACTTCAGCATCTTTTGCTGAAATTTTTGAAAAAGTTTTATGACAAAACTAATGAATCCAATTGCTGAAATTTTTANAAACTTCAGCTTATTTATTGCTGAAATTTTTATAAATGAACTAAATAACTTCAGCATCTTATGCTGAAGTTTTTGAAAAAGCTTATCCAGGACAAAAAAACTTCAGCGTATTGCCTTTGCTACTTCAGGCTCGTCTACTAGAATGCTGAAGTTTTGCGTGATTGTCTTTGCTACTTCAGCCCTGTATGCTGAAGCTACGCAAAAAAAGCGGGTACGCTTGCAATTTTTTTGTAAAGCGGGCACAAGTTAAAACGTGACCCAAAAAGCGGGTATAGATGCAAATGGGGTGAAATTCAAAAATAGCCAGATTTATAACTGGTCGTTCAAAAATAGCTCAATTTCAATAGTTATCGAAATTTAGCCACTTTTCATGTAAAGATAAATCTGAACGAAATTACTGTTCAAAACCCAAAAAATACGCCAGTATATCATGCTGGAGTTCCAGCATAATATACTGGAGTTCCAGCATAATATACTGGAGTTCCAGCAAGTATACCGGTCCAGCATAATATACTGGAGTTTGGAGCACCAGTGCTCCAGTCTCCAGTACATTATACTGGAGCTAGCAAAGTATACCGGTCCAGCATAATATGCTGGAGTTCATACACAGGTGTACCGAATTCCAGTATATTATGCTGGACCGGTCTCTGTTGCAGCAAAATAGTGGCTATTTGTCATTGACTTGGTAAATGCTGACTATTTTTGAATGATCAATCCGAAAACTGGCTATACCGTGCTATTTTTACATGCAAATGCCCCTTAAATTTCTCCCGAAAATTGTTTATTCGGCCCATAGAAATTAATTTCATTTCTGTATTTTGAGTAGAGAGCTTGTTTACGGCTACTTACTAACTATGTTTGCCTTCGTAGTTGGAGTATACTTCTGCTACGTGGAATGAATATCGCACAAAAGCACAAGACAGCTAGAAATCACAATGGTAATCTTGAAATGCACTTTTTAATGTAAATTCCTTTAAAAAGTCTAAAACAAAAATTTTGTAGGAAAGATAAAACTTGTCATTAAATAAAGCAAAGCATACGTACTATGACGATCCAAAATCCACAGTAGGTCGTGATGGGCCTAACACAGCCGTCAAACAAGTCAAAGTTGATTTATCCATTTATTTGTTCATTTTATTACTTCCGAAATTATAATTTTCATTAATTTAATGATATAAAATAGAACTTTCGGGGTAAAATGATAATAAATACGCAATTACAATAATGACCAACCCGTAAGAACCCCAAAATCCGGTGTCACAAGTGCATAACATTTTCTAAGGAGTACAACAATAATAAATTTGTTCATAATGTAATTAAGACAGGATAAAATAAATTGTATAATGGGGACTTGGTGGACTGCGGTGCGTAGCATGAATTGCAGCTCACATAAAGTCTCATCAACATATGTGCCTACGCTCCAAGATGATCAACAAATGACCTGTCAAACCCTGAAGATTTAGTGCAGAAGTGCAGCATGAGTACGTAAATCAACGCGTACCTAGTAAGTATCTAGCCTAACCCTGGAGAATTAGTGACGAGCGGTCGACATCGACACTTACTAGAGGCCCAAATAAATTAATAAAAATTCATAACAGGTATGAAGTGCACAACAATAGTAGAGTAATCTGCAATATCATAATGTTCCAGTTACTATTTTCAAAGCATAAGTTTCTCAAATCTTGTATTCTACCTTAATATTTCCAAAAAAATACCAAGTGTCAATATCAAATAAATAAGAAATACCATAAAATATCAGACATCAGTGGAAGATTGGCTCGTGAATATTAAGGCTACTAGCGATATACATACGATATTGCCGAGGCCATTCGGCCCTATCCAGAATAATGTATACACTGTCGAGGGTCGAGCGGCACGAACCATAAATGCATCTATATACTGCCGAGGCATTCGTCCCGCTCCACAAGAAAGGAAAGAAGTTTCTGAATTACAAGATACGTATTTACAATACAGTATATGAGCACAAAGTGAGTATAACATTTACCGTTTCTAAATTATCTTGCCAACAACTCAAAGTGATAAGGTTTGTCCTAAGATATAGTAATTTCTAAATCAAGTTCAATTATATTTTCAATTAATTAAGCCAGCAGAATAAGTTCATGTAATTCTAAAATTTCATGATAAAATCCTAAGTCTACCCGGACATAAACATACTTTAGCTACGTATGCACTCTCGTCACCTCGTGCGTACGTAGCACCCACAACAAGTAGCACATAATAACTACATAACCTAGGGGTAGTTTCCCCCTTACAGGGTTAGACAGGAGATTTACCTCGCTCCGAAGTTTCATAACTGGCTCCAAAATCTCTCTAACACCTTAAATCGATGCCCGTCGATCCAAAATTAGTCAAACAAGATGCAAGTCAATCAAAATATGCTCTAATACTCATAATCAATCAATTTAAACAAATTCCCAACTCCACTCGAAAAAAGTCGATAAAGTCAATCCTCGGGCTCACGTGCCCGAATTCCGAAAATTTTCGAAGATAAATATTACCCATAACAATATGAACTCAGATATATATAATTTATTCTCAATTTCATGTCCAATTTCGGGGTCAAAATCCAAAAATACCAAATTCTTGATTTTCTACCAAAGGCCCACAATTTCTACTAATTTTCATATCCCAATCCATGTATAATTCGTGTATTTAACCCATGATGAGAAGAAATCACTTATCCCATAATAGATAATGAAGATAGCATTCCAAAATTGCTCCAAGGTCGGCTCTCATGAAAGAAAATGAGATGAAAATGGGCCCAATCCCGCTTTAAAAAGAACACCTCTGCCTAGACAACTTTCGCTTCCGCGATCAGTTTGGCCGCCTCTGCGGTGGCGCTCCTACGGCGAAATCCACACTTGTGCGAAGTCATGCCCAACAACCCCGTCCGCTTTGCGCCCCAGGCTTCGCATCTGCGATTATGCATGTGCGGGAATTGCTTCGCACCTGCAACTGATATC